TAGGCACAACAGTTTTTTCAACTGTTGTTACAACTGATATTCTAAGTGAATCAGAAGTTACCTTACCTGACTTTGTGTCAAGGGAATATCGGGACGGCGCCCTAAAGGCTGTTCAAGAAAACTTTGACGCTCAAATTGCTAGTTTGAAAAGATTGTTGAAGGGTAAAGAAGTTGTTGAAGAAGAGCCACCGTCTGTGCTATCACCACCAACTGTACCTGAACCGTCTGTACAAGATCAATCGGTGGATGGGCTGAAATCTCTCTTATATGCAAAATTGATGGCTTCTCAAAGTGAAGATGCTGAAGATGCAGATTTGGTTGGTCTCTTACGCCAACAAATTGATGCTAACCCTGTTATTAGAGCCTCAGAGTTTTTGACTTTCCAAGATATGATTAAAGCTAGTTTCTCTAAAGTTAGCAACTTAATCACATCTCATACCCAAGATCTGAAACGCTCAATGGATACTCTTGTTGAAAGGGTGTCTGTACTTGAAGAAACTTGCAGGTCTCAGGCCACATCTCTTAAACGAAGACATGACGATCAGAATGATCCTGATAGTCATGAGGGGAGAGAAAAAGACAGAGATTGGCTGAGACATCTCAACAAGTTGCAAGGATGGGTGAAGAGTCAATAGCTCAGGATGTAATTGCTAAAGGTTCTGCCCCGGAATCAGTTCGAGAAAGAATAATTGAGGCTGTTGTTATTGAAGATGAAGATGTGGAGACAAGTCCAAGGATCGAGCCAATGGTTGAAAAGCCGGCGGACTCCACGGTAGAAACAAGGTTGCTAGTGGACTTGTCTGCCAATGTAAGATTCAACAATGTTTTCTCTACTACTCTGGGTGGAGAGCAGGATTTTGGAGAAGATTTWGATAACATTGACGAGACAACTGGAATTTATTTTGATTTTGAAGCTGATTTAGATGAAGAAGATCCAGTTTTTCCCATTCAAGCTGATCGTCAGACTATTCCAGAATCGTCTACTGCTGCTTTACCTGCTGTACCAGAAGTCAATGTTCAAAGAGAAACTGTTGATCCTACCGAAATCTTCACGAAGAATTATATTCCTTTTCATATCAGAGCAAACTTTCCTGGTTATGATCGTGAAAGAATCTGAGAGCCGTACTTAGAAGACGTCTACTTTGGAATCTTCATTCGTCACAGAAAAATGCTAAGTGGTGATAGAGTTCTTGGAATTCACAAGCAGCCAAAAGAGTACCGAATTGAATATCATCATCTTCTGAAAGCCAAGTGTCAACCAATCAGTGAAGTTCGTACAAAGCATTGGATTGTGACGATCAAACAAATAAATGCTCAGAAGTTATTGAGAATCTGGTATCCTGTTTTCACTGTAACAAGGCAGGATGGTCAGATTTGGAGATAAAGCAAAGCAGACTTCTCGAACTTATACTTAGATGACCTTGAATATATGTATTTTGAACTCAAAAACATGACGATCAGAAAAGAAGGAGAATTGGTTGCTCTTGAAGCAATCAAGAGGTTTATACAATGTCATGTGAAACTGGCAATGGCCATTGATGTACAGATGGGACTTGAAGACAATCAGCGAATCATTAATCTTAAAAGACCGAATCAAGACCTAGAAGACATTGAAGGCTATCCAGTGCATATGGTTCTTGAAAGTCCAGAGTTCGGGGTCGTCTATTATGCAGAATTACAAATAAAGAAGTTCATGAGGTTTAGTGAGTTGAATAAATATTTTGACTGTACGATCAAGCTAGTAAGGAGGGCACTTGATTTGAAGAGGGTGATGGACGATAAGGCTGCTGAATCTGAACGAATGAGTTCCAAAGAAAGATACTTANTGGTTATGATCGTGAAAGAATCTGAGAGCCGTACTTAGAAGACGTCTACTTTGGAATCTTCATTCGTCACAGAAAAATGCTAAGTGGTGATAGAGTTCTTGGAATTCACAAGCAGCCAAAAGAGTACCGAATTGAATATCATCATCTTCTGAAAGCCAAGTGTCAACCAATCAGTGAAGTTCGTACAAAGCATTGGATTGTGACGATCAAACAAATAAATGCTCAGAAGTTATTGAGAATCTGGTATCCTGTTTTCACTGTAACAAGGCAGGATGGTCAGATTTGGAGATAAAGCAAAGCAGACTTCTCGAACTTATACTTAGATGACCTTGAATATATGTATTTTGAACTCAAAAACATGACGATCAGAAAAGAAGGAGAATTGGTTGCTCTTGAAGCAATCAAGAGGTTTATACAATGTCATGTGAAACTGGCAATGGCCATTGATGTACAGATGGGACTTGAAGACAATCAGCGAATCATTAATCTTAAAAGACCGAATCAAGACCTAGAAGACATTGAAGGCTATCCAGTGCATATGGTTCTTGAAAGTCCAGAGTTCGGGGTCGTCTATTATGCAGAATTACAAATAAAGAAGTTCATGAGGTTTAGTGAGTTGAATAAATATTTTGACTGTACGATCAAGCTAGTAAGGAGGGCACTTGATTTGAAGAGGGTGATGGACGATAAGGCTGCTGAATCTGAACGAATGAGTTCCAAAGAAAGATACTTATTGGTCAACGCCATAAATTTGCTTGAGGAGAAGATTCAGTACAGGAACGCTCTGAGAAGATTAGAGAAAATCCATGGACTGCGCAAAACGAAATTCACAAGGGTCCAAACTTGAATCCAAAGGGGGAGAATGTTGGGTTCAAGTTAGTGCTTAATGTTGTATTCAAGTTTATCCTTAGTGTAATAGTTTTGTAATAGCTTAGTCTTTACAATTTCCTAGTATAAATAGTTTTTCTCTTGTAATTGTAATTACCTTTTGTCATTAGCAGAATTATCAAGATTAGAGCTGTAATATTCTCTCTCTTTCAATCTAATCATTCTTTGTTCATATTCTTTCTATCTTTGATGTTCATCATGATTCTTGAAGATTGTTTCATGTTTGTATGATTTCTGGACTATCAAAATAAAATGATTGAAATATTAAATATATAACTACAAAGAATTCATAACTAAAACAAATATAAGATTACCTCGTATTTCATTCAATAGCCAACTTTGAGCACACATTAGAGCCTCCAATGTTTTTGGATGAAGTCGACTATGTTGGGACTTCCGCCTCATCGTTCCCTCGAGCCGGTCAAATCCGCGATTCTTAAACCCAATGCTCTTGTAGCAATGCAGGAGCATCCCACATCGGTGAGGCTAGGGGGATTCGTCTTCCTTATAAGGAAGGGGGGATCTTACTCCTACCAGTGACACGTTTTAAAGCCGTGAGGGGTTGTTGCCGGGAGGGGCAGCCCAAAGCAGACAATATCATGTGGGCGGTTCCCTAGTATCGGTCCAACAGACTACGATGTGGAGTTACCAATCTTCCACCTGTACTAAATGCATACTCTGAGGCGACGGTCGAAATAGGAACGGCTAATATGTCTTTAGCCATCCTTTGAAGTGTTGGGTATTTAAACCCATTTGTCTTCCACCAAAGTAGCAAATCAAGTTCCATGTCTTTAGGCAAAAGTTTCTCTTTCAAATAATTATCCAATTCTGTTGTAATACCTGAATCATCATGCTGGTTGGCAATTGAAGCAATATTTGATAAGAGTTTTTTAAATTCAACCCGATGACTTGCTGAAGACTCTGAACTTAAAGAAGACAAACCACTAACACCTTCGTTGTTGTTTCTTACTACAGGATCACTAAGCTCATATTCTTGAAACAAAGTGTAGACCAATTCCTTGAGCTTCTCAAGTTCAATCGTCGATTTGTCTTGTCCGTACAACACAGGAAAAAGTAACTCCACAAACTTCAATTTATACCGAAGATCTAAAACCGCTGCCATTCCCATAATCCCATGTATAACAGACCAATACTTGTCAAACTTCAAAAGCATCTTTTTAGCCATGTTTCTAATAACTTCACTAGGAGAACATGACCAGTCGACCAACGAATATCTAATTTCACATATCGATGGAAAAAAATACATTTGTAGTGGGATACTTTGAACCAGAAAACATTACTGTTACCTAAGATTGCCAAAAAAACAAAAACTAAAGTTAACTCATATCAACAAAACAAAAGTAAAGTTTAAATAAAAATTAGAATTACCTCATAAAATAATTGCAATCTATCACAAATCTCTTTAGCAAACTCCCAATCCCGTTGCGTTGGCAAATTTTTATACTGAGACTCTCGTTGGTGTAAGCGTTGAAAGACGTCTTTGTAAACTATAGCAACACTAATCATCAAATAAGTAGAGTTCCATTGAGTCTTACAATCAAGTGCCAATTTCTTGGTGGATGATATTCTCAATTGGCGAGCTGCTTCCTCAAACTTTTGATCTCTTTTTGGTGATGCAATCCAAAAGGCCACACTATCTCTAATCCTTTCAATCCCGTCCCCAAGAACAGCCAATCCATCTTGAACTATCAAATTGAGAACGTGTGCACAACATCGCATGTGGAACAACCTCCCACCCATCATAAGTGAACTCATAGGAAGCCTGTCCAACAAGATTCCAACAGTTAGTGTGGACAGTTTCCTATCAAGATTCCAATCCAATAAACAATCATAAAGTACATCCGCAAGAACTACAGATGTATGTGGACAAGGCACATAAATAAATCTCATGATCCGACTTTTCATATTCCAATTTTGATCAACAAAGTGAGCAGTGACCGCCATAAATCCCTTTTTTTGATTGTTAGTCGTCCACATATCAGTCGTAATTGCTATCCTAGAGGTGTTCTTCTCTAACATCTTCAATGTCTTTTGTATTTCAAAATCATAAATCTTTAGTATGTCACTTTTAATGGTGTTTCGAGACGAAACCTTAAACAAAGGTTGAAGACCCCCTACAAACTTTCGGAACCCATGATGTTCTACTATTGAAAGTGGATACTCGTGTATGATTATCATCTCTGCGAGATTTCTTATTGATTTATCCGCATTAAAAGTGTAATTAGAAACATACGATGAAGTACCATCAACCTTATTTTGCTCCCCTACTAAGATATGTTGGCATATATCTCGAACAGGTCGCCTTGCACAAGACTTGAAATGGTCATGTAAATGCCTTGTACCATTTTTCGAGTTCGCTCCCGATTTCTTTTTGCAATAGTTACACTCTGCTTTATCACTACCATGCACTTTATCTTAAAGTGGCTCCATACTATTGATCGTGTTTTCCTCTTTCTACCCCCCGACTCAATTTCATCATTATTAGAGACATGATTAGTTTGCGTTTCATTTTCAGTCACTGAATTAATCGCAGGTGATGATCCAATTGGCTTACTTTGTGAAATAGACTCATTCATTATTGGATGACTATCAGTAGGACTGATTGTATTGGAATTATTACATTGTATTTCCATATCTGATATCACCTATGTAAAGACAAACAAATTAAATAATACCAAGTTACCAAACCTACTCCATTGATCAACAAATAGATTATGAACAAAATCAAGTTACCAAATTCTAATATTCACTTAGAATAACTAATGGATGCATGAGGATTTATTATATAGAGTTATATAGGATTTATATAGACAAGTCAATAAATAAATTTATAAACATATTACAGAATGCCTAAAATATTTATAATCAAAGTATCTACCGTAAATGTAAAATGTAAATTTCTACTGTCAAGAATGGAAGTACTACCAGACTGTGAAGAATGGAAAGAATGGAAATACCTTCAATTGCAGCAGGAGAGAGCGAGAGACAGCGCCGGCGGGGAGTTAGGTCAAGGCGGGAGAGAGCAATACAGCACCGACGGGGAGTTAGGTCGCCTGCGAGTAGGAGCGGCGGCCGGTGACAGTCGTGCGGCAGCTGCGGCTGGTGACAAGTGTCGTGCGGGAGTCGAGATATTCAAGCAAGAATGGAGGAGGCGACGTTGAGTCAAGCAGTAGTCTGTAGTCATGCGACCTGCCTTAGGGCTTAGTCTGTCATAGGTTATTGATAAGTTGGGCTGGAATATGTTTTGGGCTACCATTTATTAAAGTCTAATTTATAAAATTTAAATTTATTATATATACTATCGGGCTGGTCTGGGTCGGTGAGTACCGTCCCTGTCCCCGTCCCCGATATAATCCCCGAAACTCTCCCCGATCCCCGCCCCGTACCCGTTAAGAGGTCCCCGAACCCGACCCGAATTGTTCGGTTTTCGGTTTTCACTGTCGGTTTGGAGTTTTTTTGCCATCCCTAAATTTAGTATTATATTAAGGGGTCAAACATGTATTAATTAATTACATTGGAGAAGAAATTATGTAAAAAACATTATTTGGTTGTTCATTATATAGTATTGTCTATTGTTTCCTTAAATTTTTATCTACTATTGAAATCTAAAGCAATCTTGCCTAGAATAGATTGATATAGTACATCATGCATCTCTTACTGACTCTTTAAGTTATTTTATTCGCATGAATTCTATTTTTGCATTAAAATATCGTAAATTTCTTATTATTAACTAAGAAAACTTCTACATTTTGAAAAAATTATCAACCATATGAGATGATCCAACTTATATACATATTTTTGTGTTGCTTTAAATAATTAATATTAGGACCTCAAATAATGTCAATCTATATACAAAAGGTATATCATAGAATGTGTTTGGTAGTGGAATGGATTTACGCTGCTATGTAAAAATGATTTGATAGATAACATTGATTTATATGTAACTATTGATTGATTTTGCATCTAGGTTTACTCGGAAAAAAAGTTTTATAAAATGATTAGTATTTTTTTTAATTGAATATCATTTCTGTTAATAAAAACTATATATTGAATTTCTTTTCCATACTTATCATTTCTGTAATATCAGGAATGAGCCGAGTTCCTGAACGGAGTTAAACTCCAGTATATTACATCAAGAGCATTTCAGTTCATTTATCTTTTTATTTATTTTTAATTGAAAACTTAAAAGATTATATATTGTAGTAATAGAGGAAGGATCATGCGAGAAGTTTAACATTTTGCGACAAAGCAAAAAGTTTCAATATTATATAATATTACACTCCTTTAGGTGTGTTTAATCATATATGATTAAGTTCTATGTGTTGTCAATGCAACATGTATTTAATCATATATGATTAACCTTGTATATCATGTATGTAATCATATATAATATTAAAACTTCTTGCATTCTTTCAAAATGTTTAGCTTCTCGTTTAAATTTATATTTATATTAATATAATTATTATATTAATATATGTACACACAAACATATACATAAACCGTCCCCTCCCAACTAATGACTCCCTCACATCCCTACCAGGCAGGAGTCTGGCCTCATCCACACCCGATACATACATGGTATACACATCACAAACATACAACACTACGTAGACACACACACACACACACATAGACACACACACACACACATATATATATATACATACATATATATAGAGGGAGCGTTCAAATGAAAACCGCCTCCATTTGTGTAAACCGTGTAAACCAATCTCATCCATCCATTTTCTTGATCAATGGTCAAGATTAGTTTACTTTATTTTAGGAAATTAAAAAATATATATGTTAAAATTTTATTTTTATATCAGCAATAAGGGCAAAATGGTAAATAAAAATACAAATTATGTAACATCCTATTGAAGGACATTATTCTTTATTTTAGGAAATTAAAATTTTCTATTTGTTAAGAAATAATTTCGCTAATGCAGCAGCCTTTTTATTCCTTATCCTGAAATTGTTTCAATGTCCTTCGCACACCTATGTAAATATGCACCTATTCATTATGAAATTATTTCAAGACGCGCCGGTTTCGTCATGAATCCATTTCAGCATATAATTATTTCATGACAAACCGCATACATTATGCACCCGTTTCATTTTGCATTCACCTACTAAATGGATCAACTACACCATCACTGAAACGGGGTTCACCATCAAACCAGTTCACTACTCATTGTTTAATTACGCCATGAACTAGTTTCACCTTCATGAAACTTGTTTTATGTACATAGATTAGTTTATTTCGCTTCTGATTTCAAGAAATCATTCATTTAATCCTTACAATCTTAAAGATTCTATAGCAGATTACAATCTTCAAGATTATGGAGCAGATTCATCATGTACCCGTTGTCTTTAATCATGAACCATCAAACCTCCTAAGTGGAATGGATGATAAAAATAATTTTCATCTTTGACCTTACCTGAGTAATCCTTCAAACTTTTTGTTTGGAACTCATTGTCTTACTGAAATTTCACCATCTATAGTAGTCGCTTAATCATTTTTCGTGCATATCAGTCACTGTTGGGTTGAATAACTTGTATCGGATTAGGGTTATCAAAAAAGCCCCATACGTCGTTGTATAAGGTCAAGAATTTTGTTCATTTAGATCTCGATGTCGATCCTGTAGCATAGAGAAAAGATGGTACATGATGGTCCTTGTTTTGGAAATTTTCTAGGAGGATGTTTAGGGATTATAGTTAATTAAATGAATATATAATATTTGAAATGTAGCAAATTACCCTTTTGATTTAAAACTTCAATGTATTTTAGTCGTTGGATTTTAAATAATTGGTGGTTGTTATGAGGATTTCCTGTTTTCTACATTTTTAGGATTCTCCCTCAAACAGACTACATATATATATATATATATATATATATAGAGAGAGAGAGAGAGAGAGAGAAACTTGGGATCAGTTGAGACCAACATATTTTCGTGAAACTCGTGAGACCATTTTTTAATACTTGAAACTTCACAACACAACACTGTTATATAGAAGGTATAGGTAAAGATAAAGATAGGATGAACTAAAGTGGTTTTAGAAGATCTACCTATCTAATGAAGTGAGCAACTGATCAAGCACTAAAGAACCTTCGGTGACCCTCTCTAGCTAAATAAGAATCTTGCGAATCAAATTATTGTCTTTTCCTATCTTGCCAAAGTCATCCTTGCAACTATGTGTCGAATGGTACAGTACGACTTACACTTTATTGTTCCTTTTTATGCATAATCTCCATACATTGTATTCAACCCCCATGTCTACAAATTCTTATAGCCTTGTTTACTACTTCGAGACGAATAGAACCTCCGCTATATGAATATGGAACATCAACACAACATAACAACTTAACAAATAGGAAAGAAACGACTATATATAGCTCCTATAAACATTATAACAACATGAAAACCTGCTCATCAAATCAATCATATATAATGTTGTAAACTTTCACATTAATACCTCACTCCCTCACATTAATACCAAAAAAAGACAACAATTAAGTGTATGGTCTCTTCAATTTCTCTCTACTTTACATGATCCTCACTGACCTTGTCTATAAAATGTTCGACCACCATTGTGATTGCTTGTGAGCTGTTTTGATGGAAGACCTCAAATCCATGGTAGATCCCGTGTTTTCTTCTTCAATTAATTATTACAATCTTCGTCCCAAGATTCTCATAATCCAAGTGCCTCTTTAAAGTTTCTGAACTTTTCATTGCCTGGTCACTTTTTGGGTAATCTCTAGTGTGATTGTAAATGTTTTAATTAATATCTTCTGGAACAAAAACTTTTATGTTTGCTTTTATAGGTTTGAGGTTTAGGTTTTTAAAACTTTTGCCTTCCCAAAATACTCTTTCTATTGAAACCCTCTTCTTTTCCCACGAACCCGAATTCAAAATTCAAATCAATAGAATCTCCTGTATATGATGAAATCCTTCCCACATTCCAAATTCAAAATCAAATAAAAAACATCTTGTGGTAAAATCTCTTATGTAGGGTTTCCTAAACCATCAAAATTTGCATATTTTCGGTCTTTTTCTCCTTTCATCGTCCCTTTCTGGTTCCATTTGAAAAAATTTCGATAGTCTTCTTAAAATCAAATAAAAAACATATTCTCATTTTCCAGTTTTATATTAGTTGGACAATATTTTATTTCAGCCCAT